CTCACAACTACTAAGATAAGGCCTTACGAGCCTGGCACATTTCCAATAGTGAAGATATTTTTAAATGGTCGTTTTACAGATTCACAAACGCCTTACAACAATTTTCCAATGAATAACATCAAGTCTCGTTAAGAAATGAAAAGAGTTTTGAAACATTTGTTACCACTTTGGTATACAAATGTAGGAAGATATGGAACTATTTAGCAGCGTTTTGGCACACATCTTAATGGGTTTTTAATATCATAAGGTTAAAGTAAGCGGCTAGCTTAAGTTCTAGCTTAGGTCTGCGAACTGGTTAACTACCTCCTGTTCTTACGTAAATTGTCGTATTTTACAATTAAAACATAACGTTTATACTACAAACATCCATCCATCCATCTAAATTTTTGCATTTATGATATCAGTATGAAGTAGGTTACTGTTGTTTCCAAAGTTACTTAAATCAAAGAAAATCTTTTGTAACTAAAACTAACAATAATATAGAAAAGACTACTTATTGGATAAATATAAACCTAACTGAAGTTATAAAAGGGATGGAGAAATTTATATTCAACCTTTAGTTGGTTCATGAACCGAAAAATTTACCGCACGAATCGGTAACAAACAAATTGATCGAGCGTTATGATAGGATATGAAAGTGAGGGTAGGTAGGGAATATGAATTATAGCCAAAAACATAAACAAAATTAGACTTCACAGAAATTGGTATAACCTTCCATTAAGGTCATCGCACTACATGCTCATTCTAGTTAATAAAACAATATGTAGACACATGTTGGGTCATCGCAAAATAGGTGTACTTTAAAAGAACTAAACGAGAAAGTTTAAGGTGGTTTAATTTTTTTTTATAATATAGGGTGGCAAACGAGTAAGCGGCCACCTGAATCCACAGAAATGGAAAGCGACCGCTGCACATAAACATCCGCAATTGCAGATGCGCTGCCTTGATTGACAAAGGAGACGCACATAAAGAGGACATTTCCCCTTCCTATGCCTCTCCTCTTGTCAAATCCATTTTTCCTTTACATGTTTTCCTCTTAAGAAAAGGGAGGAAAGGCAAAGGGACTAAAATTAGGCCTCCGGCACCACACTCATCGGACGAAACGCGGAATTGCTTCCACTTCACGCCTGTTTTCTTTATAGTCGTGGTATACACCGGGCGAGCCGGCCCATTCGTACAAAGCGGTTAAAGCGGGCTCTACACTGTTAAAATTAAATAACAAGTGATAATTGTTTAAAAATCTTCTAAAAAGAGAGTTTTTGTAGTTTCAAAGGTATTATTCTTATTTTAAGCATTCATTTACATTTTATAGTCATGCAAATTACTCTTTTTATTTTATTAACGTAGATTAAAACCATTTTCAAATTTAAAAAAATAATGGCAAAAGCACATTTCATATAATGGTAAGCGATTATGGGTAAGAAGGGAAACCTCGTTATCTTGGGCAGAGAGGCTATTTCCTGAACCTTCTAAATGCCCTTGCCCATATTTGAATCGGTTAGAAAATAACCATCATTATAAAGCAAAATAAAGGTTTTGTAAATACAAATTGTTTTCATTTAACTGTAACAGAGTTTATTTTGTTTAAAAAACAATGAAATTCCACGACTGTGCGTCTAGTATTAAAATATAGTTGTCTCTATTTGTTTCAATGAGATTGTAAAGGATGCAAATATGTGTTAATAAAACTATCACTGTACACGAAAAACACAATAAAGCTTTTCGTACACAAACCGACGTAAAATACTTTAATCGCCGAGCGATTTACGAAATACAATTTCATAGAGGTTTGTGCACAGGTTACTCGCGTCGACGACTCATTGTGCGTACAGAAAACGCTAAGCGATTCCAGTGCAAAGATAGAAAATTAGTTTCAAAGATTTATCTTACCTTGTATAGCAAGGGGTTTATATTTTACTAGCTGTTCCCGTGCGACTTCATCCGCAAGAAATTATGAAATTTTTATTTTATTGTTTACATATGTCATATTATCAATAGCAAATGTCAAAATGACATAACATGACAAAACTTGGCAATCTTGCTTCCTTGATGTTGACAGCAACTTATGGTCTCTTTCCCACATTTTTTTATCCAAAATATTTACCCCCTAAGTTTAATAGCGTGAAAATATATAGCCTAAAGTGTGGCGTAAGTGTAGGGTTTTTTTTATTAAAATAAGAATTATTCAAAAATATACTGTAATTGCTGACATCTTAGGCAACAAAGAAGTGTGTGTTTACGCTTTATTATAATAGTATAGATTACGACTTGTATTGTATTGGTTTATTATTAACTGATAAGTTGTTACTAATAGATTTTGTCTTTATTTAATTGATATAAGTGACAATGGTAATTAAAAATAACATTCCTTCATATACCTGTTCTAATTAACTGCATTCCTTTCTCATTATTCCCAGCGCAAAACCAATTACACTCAGAATTAGTTCAACTTGACTTGAGTCTGGATTTAGGTGCGCACGTGATCTTTGTTCCGCATTCAGGTGTAATGTTAGTTCGGCAAACAAAGCATTTAGTTTTCGCAATGGAAATAAAAACAGTAGGTTTTTTTTTATAACTTAAGATGGCAAACGAGCAAGCTGCCACCAGAATCCGCCAAAATAGCGAAGCGACCGCTGCCCATAGACATCTGCAATTGCAGATGCGTTGCCTACCCTTATCCGACGGATGAGGAGACGCACATAAAGAGGATATTTCCTCTTCCTATGCATCTCCTCCATCGCCAAATCCACTTCCCCTTCCCATCCTCTCATAAGAAAAGGGTGGTAAAGAGAAAGGGACTTGAATTAGGCCTACGGCACCACACTCATCAGACGAAACACGGCATTAGGTCCATTTCACGCCAGTCTTCTGTGTGGTCGTGGTATTACACCGGGCGTGAGGGCCCATTCGTGCTAAGATGTTAAAGCGGGCACTACCACTGTTAAGATATGATGAACGCATAGGTACGGGGAATATCCTCTTTGCGTCCCCCTCTAGTGAATAAAGGTAGGAAACGCATCAAATGCAGATGTCTATAGGCATTGGTCGCTTCGCTATATCGGCGAATTCCGGTGGACGCTTGCTCCTTGTTCTTAAATCTAACATAAGATATATTGTAAAACGAAGTAGGAATTTAAAAAAAACATCAGGACTAGTAAGCAGTAGCATAAAAATGTAAAATTTCAATATTCATAACCAAATCTCAAACTAATAACGTAACTGATATCCGCATCTTTGATAAATTTTTTGGCTTCATTCCAAAGTCATAAAGTTAAGAGCACTAATGGAATCTTTTTTGAAAAAAAATGTCCCGAACGCTACCGTAAGTGAATTTTATTATGATTTATGAAATGTGATGGAAATATCTATCTAAAATGACACCGTAGAATGAAAAAGTTATAACAAATCTGACCACACACTTCCAAATAATTTAGATAACCGTAAATAACCAAATAACCTCATGTCAATGTGGTAATGACAGACTCAGAATTCCCTAAATATTATCGAAACATCTCCTTAGTGTAAATGGTCTGAGGATCACCCTCAGTGACCAATTACCAACACATATTATCTTACATAACACAGTCGCTTTTCGTATTTATTTAGTTCTGCTTAGCCACGAAACGTTTTAAAATAGTTTTCACCATCTAGTAAGTGGTAACTCCTCTTTAGGGGAAAGTCGTAAGTTATGAAATAATTGTGGAAAGTAATTTAAAATTAAAACGTGCCTACAATACCAAGAAACCATCATATATATATATTGTCAATTTTTCATTCAAAATAACACTTAGGGCCTGTCCCATCACTGGCTGATAGATCCTCAGATAGCTTGAAAATGACGTCACTGTGAGGGAATAAAATCCGATGTTTCCATGACATATTTTACACCTTTGATTGTTATCAGAATACAATTTAGTGGGACAGGCTCTTAATGTTTATAAGACTTCGGCATAAAAGTCATTTTACTTCTAGACCCCTCTTAATCAGTCTGGCTTATATATTATCCGGCGTCACCTAGTATTGTAGATATTATTTGGACAAAAAGTCAGTTCCCTTATTGAATAAATCAATAGAATACGGAAACGTCTAGAACGACCTTTGAACTTAGTTTAGATAAATATCACGTTTTCTCAATAAATTACGACAACTCTAACTGAATTAACGTTCTCTAATTGTTACTGAAATAATGAAACGGTGGAGAAATGTATTCCATTTCTGTGAATACTTAAAGAATATTTAAGTGGTTTTCTTTGTCGTTATACTCATTGCTGTCAAACTTATACAGTTGTCTCTTTTTTGTTTATTAGGATGAAAGGGACGGCAACATTTCAGTTGAGGTGATGAACGCCGTGATGTGCAAAGGAAATGAAAGATTTAGATGAGCGTGTATAGCCTTTATTGCGCTCTCACACCGTTGACTAAACTATCGCACAACTATTCAGTCGCCTTTACCTATACATACGCACGCTATTCGATTTTTAGTTTTGCAACTAAACAGTTGAATTGACTTCGAAACAATCGACAATCGCAGAACGATAGTTTAGTAAAGGTGTGCGCCTGCTCTTATGCAAGTATTTTGACCGTGAAAATCCACACTAAAGCGTTTAATGCGAGACATTTTATTTTATTATGTATGTCTAATTCTTATCAGAAACTATTTAAAACACTTTGTTCTAGTTAAGATATAAACATTTATGTAATAAAAAATCATAGAAATAATACACAAACATAAAAGATAAAAGGATATCCAAATTTAATTTACACATAAGTTGTAAGCAACCGATACAAAACGAAATGAATATTTCTAAGTAAATACCTAAATACTGGTTTTCGTTTGATCGCCAAATTTAAAAATTAATCAAAAATATAAATAACTCAAATAAAATGAGAAAAAAACAGCAGTTTATTTATCATAATTATAATTTTCACGTTATATAGCACTTTGCGATGTATCTGAAATCATCTGGCTCACATCAAAGTGTTCAGTGTTTACTGAGCTGTGGTCTGCGCCAGTCTGCGCGTGAGTTCAGTCACAGCGCGACCTGCGCTCAGGCATCACATGTCACATTATATTTATTAATATCATGTACATATAAATTTAATACAAACATATAATATTATATTTATCCCCATAGTGAGTGATTTTAGACAAATTAACGGTAAGTCGATTTTTTTAATTATGTATGTAATTTATAAATAACGAGCTATTTATTGTCCGAGGCTTTGTTCGCGTGGTATCAATATAAAATCCTTTGTTACCCAGTGATAACGTGCCTTTTTAAATGTGCAAGAATTTTTCTAATCGGCCCAGTAGTTTTTGAGTTATATCAATATTTACAAAAAATAGCAATCTTACTTCTTTATAATATCAGTATAGATATCTCAATAATTCGTCATTGAACTTACGATCTAAAATAGCATAAATAATAAAAAAAAACTGTTATCATTTCAAACAAAATTCTTTGAACATTATTAGCCCATTAACTTAAATGAAAAATCAAAATATAGACATGCACGAGTAGCCTAATGGTTAAGAGTACGGAATGCAAAACAAGATAGTAGATTCGAATCCGTTAAGACAGAAATAAAACCTAGGCATAGATTGTAATAACGTTTATTTGACAAATGAAAGTGACGTGTGTAGCGAGTAGAGTTTGCGCACACCTTTGATTAAACTATAACACAGATTTTTAGTCTCGGCTTGATTCCTATAAACTTATATGGAGGTGCGCAAATTACTCGATGTTTGGTTGTGCAACTAAACAGTTAAATTGACTACGAAACAATCGACAATCGCATAGCAGTAATGCGATATTTAATCAAAGGTATTTGCACGCTCTTACACATGAATGAGGTATGTCTAAAAGATAAACAAAAGAAAGAAGTCCTTTCCTTTCTTTCCTCCTTTTCCAATGGAAAGACAAATAATGTAACATTTCAGCCGGTTTATTTTGCTAACCCAACCTTTTATCTTTTGCTTATGTTAATTATTTAAATGAGGACTCGCTCAACAAAATGCGTCAATGAGGTTAATTGCAATCATAAAGATTTCGTTTTGATCATTAACTTTTAGACGAAATAAATTGAAAGGCGAAATTGTCTATACAGCTACCTTGAATACCTTTAAAACACTAATAAATATGACTATAATTAAATTTTAATTAAACTTAAAAATCTATTATAATAAAGCGTAAACACACACTTCTTGTTGCCTAAGATGTCAGCAATTACAGCATATTTTTAAATAATTCTTTTTTTAATAATAAGCGCTACACTTACGTCACCCTTTAGTCTTTATATTTTCACGCCATTAAACTTAGGGAGCAAATATTTTGGATAAAAACCCTAATGTAGGAAATAGACCATATGTTGCTGCCAACATCAAGAAAGTAAGATTGCAAAGGTTTATCATGTCATGTCATTTTGAAATTTGCTATTGATAATTTGACAAATGTAAACAATGAAATAAAATTTTCATGATATCATGCGGATGCGGCCGCACAGGAATAGCTAGTTGTCATATAAAACTTAACCGTGTATTAAAATCCTTTCCTGGGGGCGATTCAATCGCCTATCATGCTAATATTATAAATGCGACAGTTTAGATGGATGGATGTTTTTTAGAGTTTGTGGCCTAAACCGTTGAACGGATTTCAATGAAATTTACTAGAGATGAAGAGGATAATCTGGAAGAACACACAGGCTACTCACTTTTGGTTTTTTAATTTCAAGCGGATGGAGTCGCTGGCGAAATCTAGTATAACATAACTTTGTACTAAAGAATTAGTTCCATATTTATCCGCAATATGAGTCTTTAAATAAAACTAAACATAAGTAAGCATAGTTGACACTTCACTTGAAACGTCTCCTCCTTCGATTAAGGGTAGGCAACGCATCCGCTATTGAAGGTCGCTTCTCCAGTTTGGCGGATTCAGGTGGCCGCTTATTTGACCTTATGACATTAAAAAAAACTGTTATGATACAAACACTGACCGTATCGGCGTATCAAAAACATTGAGTTATTACCGTACAAAGAAGTCCATCAAATTGCCCTTATCCCTTACGGTGAGTCGGCACAGTATGTGCTGCTCTTCCATACATCTCTATCAACCATATCTGAATCCACTCCTTTATTAAGAATATACTCTTTCACACAATCCATCCATACTTTCTTCGGTCTTCCTTTTCCTTTGTAGCCATCAAATCATTCTTAACATTTCCTCTACCATATAAAGAAGTTACCGGTGATAAAACATTGTTCCCTATGTATTGTATTCATACCCGTTATCGTTTTAAATGTTGAAAACTTAACCTATTTGTAATCAAATGTACTCCTATTTCAAATATCGTAAACATTTAAAAGTCGTTAATATTTCGATAAATACGTGTAGAACACGTGTTTATAAAATAAGGCAAGTAATTATCTTCAGCGAGTTTAGTGTGACATCACAGCAATTAAGACCACGGCCAGTGAACGTGACGACAATCGGTTACCGACCTGTTTAGAAGAACACTGTTACAATATATCTGAACTTATATTAAACAAACTGAGAAAACAAAACACAAAAGCCTTTATACCGGATGAAGACGGGAACACACATTCAAGTAAAATGGGATAGTAGCTAGCATACCAGTTGCTTGTATGTGCAGGTTACTGGCATATACATATCAGTAAAATGTTCACGAGTTTGTAAGAGACTTGATGTAATTTTGTCAATAATTTCTCTGACTCGCACTAGGCTAGACATAGTTGTCTTATATCTGTTACTAGCTGTTATAGTATAATAAAAAATATATCCTATGTTACTCATAGATAAATTACCTTTCTTACGGTGAAGGAATTTATAAATCGGGCCAGTACTTTTTGAGTTATTTCATTACATTCAAAAATACAAATCTTTTCTTTTATGACATTAGTAGAAGAGCCTGTCCCACCACTGACTAGAGGCTCAGATCGCTTAAAAATGATGTCACTGTCAGATAAGGGAACAAAATCCGATATTTCCATCACATATTTTACACGTTGGATTGTTATCAGACAATTTACAATTTGGTGGGACAGGTCCTCAGTCTGTTACTAAGCGGAACAAGTCTTAATTTAAATTACGAACGCAGATTCAAATCAACAAGGTCGTCGTATTGTTTACGTTTTTGTCACTCGACAAACCGGCCATTGTTACGTGTGTCCATCAAACTCAGTACCGCACAATGCTATTTTTTTTTAGGAATAAAAGCAAAAGAGAAATGCTCTAGATCATTTGTAACACGCGTAGAGTGTGTATTCTACGTGTTTTGGACGTTACAATGAATATGTACGGTGTGAAAAATAAAATATTAGCCTAATATTTAGGATCAGAAAAATGTAAAATCACATAAAAGTAACAGTTCTTTAATACGTATTTTCAAAATATATTTTAATATACTATTTAACAAAATATCTCAAAATTTAGACATATTGAAGTGTCTGAACGTAATTTAATAAAAAAAAATGGTAAAACGGAGCGGCTAGTTTGATTTTAGACAGACGGGTCTGATTCAGTGGACGGTAGCTTATCTGTGCACGGATATTATAGGTTACTTTTTTATTCAAACGAAATCACGGGCATTCGGTAGTTTTAAAAAAGTATAGACTGTGAAAATCTATACTGAGAGTAGGTTAAAATTATTATTACTCTATGACCGTTTGTGTTCACTGGATTGTACAATCGTTACAATTGAAGTGAAATCCGATACGTCATTTCCCTATGACTGGTATGATATTAAACAGAACCACTGAAGCCCCGGGCATCGCTTTGTACCCCATCTCTCAGTGATATTGTAAAGGCTTGAAGTCTCTGTGGATTTAATGCTCTTTACACTCGTCTCGTGTTTTGTACAATTTTACATTTTGAAGCCTGTTTTGAGAATAATTTTATTGTTTCCTTAGTTTAGTTTAACTGGTTTCTACGCCAAAAGGTGTTTTATAAATAAAGTATTTATAAAGGTAAAATTAAGCTGATAATCTATACTTAGTTTTATAACGAGGAAATATAATTATTGAATTTCTGTATAAATTGAAAAAAACTAAAAAACTACTTGGCCGATTTTAAAAATTCTTACACCATTACAAAGCTAGGTTCTCGTTGAGTAACATAAGCTTTTAAAATTCCCCGTAAAAGATAGTTTACTAAGAAAATAATCGTTGATATTTAAATTTTAAAAGTGTGCTAGAAACCTTTGATGTTTTACAATCAATGTTAATAGAGCTATTAAAATCCGCATAAATATATCAGATAGTTAGTTTTAGCAAACAGCGATAATACGAGGTACAAAGTTTATGCATATATCTCTATATATCGAAAGGTCAAAGAAGATATTAGATTCACGAGGCGCCGGACACGTGCATGACCTAAAACTCTAATATCAAATAACATTTTCAATACATTTTATTTATCAGCTGTTATATCAATATAAGCTGTTGCACGCGACTTCGCCAGCATGAAACAAATGAATAAAGCCTATGTTACTCACTGATAACGTAGCTTTTGAATGGTGAAAGAATTTTTGAAATTAGTCCAGTAGTTTTTGAGTTATACACACAAAAATACAAATCTTTCCTCTTTATTGCGTTAGTATAGTATAAACAATAACTGTATTTTTTTGTAATTTAAAACTCTTCCTTCAAGTCTCTATTTCTTTCACAGATGAAGTTCCACTACGTTCTTCTGGTGTGCCTCGCGACTTATACCTCAACGCAAGGCAATGCGATCACCAATCAAATATCTGACAACAGAGAAATGCTACTGGCATTTGTTGTAAGTATTGTTTAGCCGGTGATTTCCAAACAAAAGACTGTCTACAATCAAAGACCTGGTCCATATTCCCTAAATAACATATCCCCAGATAACGCTTTATTGCAAGGTCTGTTTTTATTTAATCAGAAAGGGTACAAAACTGCCGGATGCCTAGAGATAGCGGTAAAGGAGACGCTTAGAAAGGGGAAATATCCTATTTATGTGCGTCTCCTCTTCTCTCGATTATTGTAGGCAACGCCTCTACAATTGCGGATGTCTATGGGAAACGTTTGCTTCGCCATTCCGGCGGATTCAGGTGACCACTTGCTCGTTTGCCACATTATAATATAAAAAAGATCAGTAATCCATCGCTCATAGACATCCCTAAACTAGAGAAGTTGATGCATACATTTGCTACGGGAATATTTTAAAGTGGCGGTTTCGTTCTTGCTTTCATTTACAAATCATCATATCCATACAAAAGTCTATTCCATTTAGTCTTCTCTAAACTTAACTCATCTAGGTCATAAGCTTCACAATTCATGATGTAACTTATAAAACGTCCAAAGGTGAACCGGCACGGCGAGCGCGCACCTGACAGCGACGAACTTTCACTTTCCAATGAAAAGGAGAGACTCAAGAACATTACTTACATCGAAGGCCCCGAAGGACTCACTAACGTAAGAACTATCAAAGTCTTTAGTAATTGAAGAGATGTAAATAAATCTTCAATTCATATTGTAAGGAGAAAAGGTTTACCTAATTAATTTTCTGATAAAACTACTAATCCGTTTTATTACTAAACTCTTCAGTTATTAAGTACTCACATTATAATTTAATTATTCTACAAATAATTGGTTTAAAATACAAAATTGTAATGTCATGGTTTATATAACTCGTCACCTTGAACGAAGTCATGATATCTCTAAGTAAAACGCTAGAGGCCCTTCGTTATCACAAGGTCAAATTTGTTATATGTCAATGAATTCGAGGAGGAAGAGGAAATGTAATGCTAATCACTTTCACGGCTGTAACAAGGACATTAAAACATTAACACATAGCTGCAAAAGTCGAAGCGAATTTATAAGTTAAAGAGATGAACTTTTCAGAAGTCAGATTCATTCCACCGAATCTAATACTGATGAAACTCTAAGTTCGAGTTTCGCTTTATTCTGTTTTAGTCTATGAGCGATAGTTCATGACAAGAAGAACGTTAGTTATGAGGTAGACCTAGAAAGAGCATGGATGGCGTGAAAGGTGACATGATCAAGAAGCGAGTGATGACTGAGATGATGGATGACAGAGTTATTTGGAGGACGAAAACCTACTCCGCCGATCTACCGGATTAGGATAAGGAAAAGGAAAGTAAATTTACAATCATGTTTCAGGCAGGTAAACGTAGAGGATACCAAATAGGAAAATTCATCAAGCAGCGCTACGGCTGCCAAGGTTCCAAGTTACTATCAAACATCTACTTCCAAGATGAGATAGCTGTGAGGAGTACGGACAAAGAGAGAACTAAAATGACAGCACAGATGGCGATGGCGGCAGTATACCCGCCAAGAATGGAACAACAATGGGACGAGGGTCTCGGCAAAGTATGGCAACCAGTACCTTACACTGCTGTTCCATTGAGTGAGGATTATGTGAGTAACTTTTTTCTTGAAGAAGATTTACCAAACGTCATTATGTACTTATATGTTATTGTAGATACAGAAAGGAAGGAATTTTGTCTGATTCTGCCGAGAATAGGTCTGAGAAGTCTATAAACTCTTAGATAGTAATTCGATTCATCCAACAAATCTCAGTTCAATCAAAGTTGTTGGTATCATGCGAATAAATCGTGATGTATTCTAGATTTATTGTTATGCAACATTGACCTCCATTATCGTATTGATAATGAGGCGCTTGAGTTGAGATAATAAGCGGCAAATTTTATACTCGGAATCAAGTCTGAGTCGATTCCCTTTATCGGGAGTAAGATTATGATGTAATAAAATGATAGTCAAAACTAACAAAGAGTTGGAGATCCTTATACTCTCAAATGTGTCGTATTATTTAAACACTAGCTTTCCCCCGCGACTCCTATGTGCGCGCCTATGTGTTCCTTCAGGCTATGCTCTACATCGATGCCAAATTTTATCGAAATCCGTTCAGCAGTTTAGGCTACAAACACAAACAAACATCCATCTAAATATTCGCATTTATAATATTAGTAAGATTGAATCGCCAATTTTACTATGGAAATACACGCTTTTTTTTCTGCAGTTGAGGTATTACTCCAACTGCCAAAGGTTTAAAGAACTGATGGAGATTGCCAAGAAGACGTCACTCTACGAAGAGTTTGCGCCCTTCAGCGATTTATTCCCCAAGTTATTGAAGGAAACCGGTCGTAATTTCACAGAAAACCCGTTGCTGTTTCAAGCACTATTCGATTTATTTAGAAGTCAGGTAAGGATCTAGCTGTAATTTCTCAAAAAGTAAAACGAATAACAATATTTTTAAGTTCATTAAGTAAAGTGACCTCTGGCTAACCTATTTTTGTTATTACGCAGTGATGCAGTCAAAAGTATATAATACATCTATTGCAATATCAAATTTCCCACAAATTAATACGTCAGGGTCACAACTCTCACGGACTCGGTTACTTTCAATAACGTTTTGCCTTTCAAAAGATCGTTTTACAATTTTATACAATGATCTAAATGTATTCATTAACATGACATTTTGTTAACGTTAATGGATTTCGTTTTTTTTTATTTAAATGCTGTTTTAGCGCCGGGCAAACTCGATGACCTTGATTTTACTTATGATTTAATAGCATCATATTATCTATCTTACTCTAAGCGTTTTATTACAACTGGCGAGATTAATTTTACCAACGATCTTCAATTGTTTAGTTACTGCAAGAATTTAAATATCGAATTGCATTGAATACACCCATCCCTTTCAGTCTCTTTGAATAGAAGCAGATAGCAATATGAAACAATAACAATTGAATTCAACGAATGAGCAATATTGTTTAACTTACAGGTAGCTCTCGGATTAGACGTGCCTAAGTGGGCTAATCCTATCCTAGCAAGGCTCGGAGAAGCATCTCGCCTTGCCTATAGATTGTATTTCAAGACTGACGAAATGAAAAAGATTGGTGGAGGTAAGTTACTGTTTTTGGTTATTTCTTTGAACGGACGGTTGATGAGGCTAAAAGACCAGGAATGAACCACCTTCCGCAGGATGGACTGATGACTTGGGTATTTATAATATTTAATCATAATTTTGTCTGCTCTTTTTAGGTGTTATTCTGAACGATTTTATCACAGCCGCAAACAATATCATAGCGGGGAAGAAAATCAATAAGCGGATCCGAATGTATTCAGCGCACGATTTCAACATCGGCTCTCTGATGGAAGTCACCAGGATATCAAGAAGTGAACAGACTGTACCAGAATATGGTTCTTTGTTCGCGCTTGAATTGTATAGGACGAAGAGTAATGGAGAATTCACCGTTTTGGTAAGTTTTTAAACCTCGAACTTAAATCTCCATAAAGATTGGTCGTTTGATTCAGTGGTACCGCTTCGACCAGATCGTAGTTATTTTCGCCCGCGACTCTGTCCACGTGGAATCAAAGAAAATCAAAAGTAAGTTGCCCATGTGTTCTTCCAGACTATCCTACATCTATGCCTAATTTTATCGAGATCCGTTCTGTATTTTAGGCTACAAGCTCTAACAAAAATCCATTCATCTAAACTTTGGATTAAATATGTTACATTTGCGCAAACTCTACAATGGAAACCCAAAGTTGCATACACATTGCTAAGTTGCAAGTTGATATTATCGCTTCTTGTCCTTATTCTATACTTCATATACGCGATTCAGCGTGTGCTCTCTTTAATGCATTAATGAATAGTTAAATTGGGAGTAAGATTATGATGTAATAAGATGACAATAACTATCTTGTGTTGTAAAGAGTTGAAGATTCCTGTTTTGGAATTGTTGCAACCCATTATTTTCTTCCTAGTAAGAACTATCTCCTTATGTTTTTCCAGCCCGTATACTTGCCAAAAGCAGGCGAGTCAGTCGCCCACAACCTCCACTTCACTGGCTGTGAAAATAACAGTTATTGCAGCTATCAAAAGTTCCATGAACTCACCAGGGATTTTGTTCTGCCTGAGAAAGAGTACTACAGAATCTGCAACATTAAGACTGAGTTATAGTGCATATATCTGTAGAATTCGGCTATTGTGATTGTCTGTGTTGACATCTCTTTCATTCCCTTTGACAAATGAGAGACAGTAATACTGTAGTTGAATTCTGCGGTTGTAATAGTTCAATTAAACGTAACACTTTTGTACATAATTGTACATTCATTGATCAATATAATGAATAGTTTTGTAGCTGTTTTTAATATTTTTATAGGAATTTTATTATTATTGCTTGTTTTTTATACTCTAAGTGATTTTGTTGTTTTAATTTTGTTGTTCTTACTAATGAACAAATATTAAAAAAAATGTTTGTAGCATTTTTATAAAATTTTATTGTAAATATCGCAGTTTTGTAAAATATAAATCTAAGGAGCATAGTCTGTGATATACATATATACTTAATAAAACATGTAAAAACAATAAACAATTAATACAATCTTTTCATTTTTCATTAATCTATACTATTATAATAAAGTGTTAACACACACTTCGTTGCTGCCTAAGATGTCAGCAATTACAGCATATTTTTGAATAATTCCTTTTTTAATAAAAAGCCCTACACTTACGTCACGCTTCAGGCTATATATTTTCACGCCATTAAACTTAGACGGTAAATATTTTGGATAAACACCCTAATGTGGGTAAGAGACCATAAGTAGCTGCCAACATCAAGGAAGCAAGATTGCCAAGGTATGTCATGTCATGTCATTTTGAAATTTGCTATTGATAATTTGACAAATGTAAACAGCAAAATAAAGTTTTCATAATTTTATGCGGATGAAGCCGCACGGGAACAGCTAGTAAACCATAATAACGTTTTTAATAACCGTAAGTATCAAATTGTATCAATCTTAACGAAATAGTTACCAATATTTTGGTCCTTTAAGCCGGACACCTCGGGTGCAGTTCTTTAGAAGTTGGCGTGACAAGGGTGCAAGTTATTACGTTGTCAAACCCTAAGGCACAAATTGTCCGGCCCTTGTCAAACAGGACCTATTGCTATTTATTTTTAGACACCGCTTGTTATTTTTATAAATCAACAACTCACTGTGTAAGATTAACGTTTTATCGTCAACATGCGAGTTCTCGGTTTATAAACTTAACTAGCTATCCGCCTTGGCTTTGCTCAGGTCTAATGCAGCTGAAATCCACTTTGTTTTATATTAAGTGTTAGGATAATGTAAAATTTATGACTATCACTAGCTTACACCCGCGACTCCATCTGCGTGGAATAAAAAAGTGAGTAGCCTATTTGTTCTTCCAGACTATCCTCTACATTTACACCAAATGTCATCCAAATAAGTTAAGTCGTTTAGGCTACAAGCTCCAACAAACATCCATCCATACATCTAAACTTTCGCATTTATAATCTTAGTATGAAGTATGATAACAGTTTTTTTTCTTAAAAAAGCCATTTACTGTTTTTTTTATTCTTCTACAAGCTGTTCTCGTGCGACTTCATCTGCATAAAATTATATTTTTTTTGTGTTTACATGTGTTAAATTCTCAATTGCAAATGTCAAAATAAATTGCTTCCTTAATGTTGGCAGCTTGTAGTTTATGGTCCCTTTCCCACGTAAAGGTTTTTTCCAATTTATTTATCCCCCAAATTTAATACCGTAAAAATATAGAGTCTAAAGCCTGACGTAATTAAAGGGCTTTTTACTAAAGAAAGAATTACTCAAAAATATGGTGCGATTGCTGACCTCTTACGCCACAATGTAGTGTGTGTTTACGCTTTTTTATATTAGTATAGACATAATAAAAAACTAGATTCAGAAACGTAAGAAATAAATTTAATTTGAATCAAGAATATTGCTTATTTTTATATGTTAAGGCATATTGTTGGTAACGTTTACCCTAGCTTATGATTAAAAAACACCTATATTCCCTTTAAAATACAAGTAATAAGGCTTGTTAGGTCACCATTCATGAATAAATTCCCTCATGTTAAGACCCTTTCACACTGAGAGCTTACAATTCGTTCATTTCTATTAAATCGGATGAGCCCCTATAAAAAGTTCACCCCAATTATATTGAGAGTATTCTGAATGCTGGGCCGATGTCGGGTTTTAGCTAACGGGAGCCGATAGTTTCCCGCCATTTCCATTTCGGGAACTCTAGTATTAATTCCGGACGCTTAAATTCCGATGTGAAGTCTCTCTTAGATTTAAATGTGTATTCACTTATTGAACAATTTTTATATTACTGTAGTAATTAAGCTTTGATTTTATCTCTAAGATAAAAATACCCTTCATTTTAGAAGTAATTTTATGCAATGCTTTCGACCCTGACGCTGTTCCCTGGTAACAAATAGGTACCTAAATTACATGCTATCTTTTACATGCCTTTCATGGAGACCCGTTCAGCAGTTTAGGCTACAAACTCTTGACACAGTCATCTAAACTTTCGTATTTATATTAGTAAGAAATTGTAAAGTTAATTAAAAGCGGGCGCACGCTTTGACTAAACTATACAACTGTTGTGCGATTGTCGATTGTTTCGCAGCCAATTCAACTGTTTAGTTGCACAACTAAAAATCGAGTAGTGTGCGCACCATATATGTTCATAGGAATCAAATCCCAACTAAACAGTTTCCGATAGTTTAGTCAAACTCGATCTAATAAATAGATATGTCACATTTTTACTAATAGATGTCGCTTTTACCAAATTCTTGATCTTTGACAAGCGTTCATATATTTCCATCGGTAGTAATACAGTGCAATGTCCGTCCGTGGTAACGTATGATGCTACAAGACAGCACTGTTTGTTACCAGTGTTTGACTTGTTCTGTTACCGCAAGGGTTGCCAAAAGTTTTTGTTATCATTTTAATTATTTCTTTTAGCGTGGATGAATAAAATTATACGAATATTTCCACAGAAATAAACACTCCGACGCACCATACATTATTGATGATACGGATAGCTAATGCAGGTTCAATATCTACTAAAAAATTTGCTAGTGATTTTAAAGATTATAGATTTCAGCTTTTTCAAACAAATGTAGTATTAATTTAATTTGAAAGAAAATTTTTCTATTACGAAATAATTTTTGCAATTTTTTTCGGACAGCCCTAGATGGCGTTGTTGATTTACGCGACGTGCTCGACTCCACAGTAGCAGTAGCAGTATGCAAACTGTCTAACGCATTAATTTCACCTACTATACTGTCAAGGAGTTGGTTCAGTGGATTACATTACAAATGAGACACTGTGTGTTTACACTGTGTCATAAGTCAAAATTAACTAAGGTTGACAAACTAACAAACTATCCTTTCACATATCTAGTCTAAAACCTTACTAATATTAAAAAAAAGCTTTTGCACCCGTCCGCGTGGAATAAATAAAAAAAAGTAGCCTATGTATTCTTCCAGACTATCCCCTACATCTATGCCAAATTTCATAGAGATCCGTTTAGCAGTTTAGACAACAAACTCAATCCAACATCCATCTAAACTTTCGCATTTATAATATTAGTATGTTTAGTAAGATTTGAATGTTTAGATGGTTGGATATTTGTTAGAAGTTATCTCTAGAACGGCTCATAACCTTAATGAAAGGCACAGATGTAGAGCATAGTCTTACAAGATCCTCTTTGATATGCAGGTATTCCATTGATTGAATCTTTATAAAAACTCCGCACTTTATGAAATAAGAGACACAAACAAACTTTTGCTCTACTATATCAGTATTCAAACAAAGCTAAATAAAACTCGAATACAGTGTACAAAACATAAGTACTGGTAACAGAAGATAATGTATGAACGAAATTTGCAACTAAAATGTTTGTTCGTCGTACGGTCACAGAGTATGCAAATAGAACACCTGTGTCGTTGGTACTGCGACTTAACAGGATGCTCCACTTTGGTGTGCGAAAATAGTTCCTATACTATTCAGATGCCTATACTCGTAGAACTTTAGTAATGTTCCTAATTATTCAATATTAATTTACACTTCTTGAAGTGTTTTCTTACATCTTACTAATATTATAAATGCGAAAGTTTAGATGGATGGATGGATGTTTGTTAGAGTTTGCAGCCTAAACGGCTTATCGGATCTAGATGAAATTTGGCATAGATGTAGAGCATAGTCTGGAAGAACACATAGGCTACCTACTTTTGTTTTTTTTACTCAACGCGGACGGAGTCGCGCGTGAAAGCTAGTAATTAATAAATTATTGATAGTTTGAGAGTATCCCCAATGGTAGAGAAGGTAAGATTATCATGGTACGGAAAGAGTGTGCTACACCGGTAGAGGTAGACGTAGAAAGAGATGGCTGTATTGCGTAAAGGTGATGAAGGGAGTGGTGACTGAGATGACGTATGATAGAGTTATGTTGAGGACAGAATCCTGCTGCGGACCTACAGTAATAGAATAAGGGGCAAGAGTGATAATGTAATTAATTATTTATAATACTGTATGGGAATAATATGTTTAATTACGACTTCATAGTATTAGCTCGAATTAAATTTTAACAATTTATTTTTGATTTTCGCATGTTAATTTATTTCTGTAGGCAACAGACATTTCTCCATCCCTCATATTACATTTATATATTGAATATTCAGGACCATGAGTGTCGTCATGTTAGGGGGTAGCCGCTTGGACTTAGTGTACATCTGCTGTCAACGACCGTGTAAAGGTCTAACAAAAATTACTGTAAGATTGCATAAGCAAAACATTCTAGTTAAGGAAAGGATGAGAAGTAGAAATAAGTTTGACTGTGGATGGGACGCACAAGAAGGAGAAATATCCTTTTACGTGCGTTCCCTTCAAGTCTATTAAGGGTAGGCTACGCATCGGCATTGGAGGGTATCTATGGGTAGCGAACGCATCGCTATTTCGGAGATTTCGCTCTCTCATTAACCTTGTGTTATAAAAAAGTAGATTTAAATTAAAGTGTTTGATCAGTCACGAATTTTAAATGTTTATTCGTAACCTGTTTGAATCCCGGTGACCTCTCCTGAGTGCGAGGTAATTGGACCTCGTGATATATTTCTCTCTACGTGAGCAATATAGCGTTAATTAATCGATCAATCTACACGCTTGTTGATCTAGACGTTTTGATATTTGCCCGGATTTTTGTACGGCAACAATAAATAAATCGGAAAATAAAATGAAGAATAAAACATTACACTAACAGTATTACAGAAAACAAACGTAACACAATTTAGACAACATTTGAAGGTATAATACTGACGAAATAAATAATAAACTATAGGTATTAATTTCTATGTAATAAAGTAGTGGAGAAAATGAGAAGCAAAAAGTTAGCGTGGTATGGACATGTTATGCGACAAGACCATGGGGGACATAAACCAGAAAGTGTTAAGAATGAATGGCTATAAAGGAACAGAAGGACGGAAGAAAGTATGTAAAGTGAAAGAGGATATGCTTAAGAAAGGAGTGGGTTCAGAAATGACGGC